TCTTTCAAAGTCTAGGAAGCCAGGCAATACTGCAACAATCGTGGGAAATGTAGGGGTCATTCTCTGTTACATCTATATGTGGTCTTCAAGTCACTGGAAATATTATGTGATAAATTAGGTTTTAATACCAGGAGATTACAAGAAACCACTCTTTGGTTTTCAGGGAAATATGAGATCATATTACTTTGAATTCTTTAGTTTCAAAAACATAAGATTGTCCTCGTATCCTGAAAACTTGTTGTTTTACACATTTACCTATTTGATCTATACGGAATTAGTGTGATCATACCTAAAACATGATTGATAAATCATAGCTTAGACTTTGATGAAAGGAGAATTAAGGTATTGTCATAGAGTCAACATTCTTTAAACTGTTTGAATATCTCATAGCGAGTATAGAATGTAGATGCGTCACTTATTCAGGGGCTAACAAAAGTTCTCTAATTCATCTATGATGGGAATCATATTGAAATCAATCAGTTCCTAACATACTGCTTGCCGTAACCATACCTTTTTTCAAGGGTTATATGTTGAGTACTTGTGGTTGCCTACGTATGTGAGGCTAAAAAGCCAGCTGTTGTTATCAGGTTGGTAAAGCGCTAATATAGCTATCTAATCAATATTTCGCCCTCCATTGGTATATGGATCATAACTACTTGGTTTTCTAAAATCTAGATTGGCTTAATACGTTTAACCATATTATCTTTTTGAAAGATTCTTCTTATCAGTTAAGCAAAATAAAAATCCTAATAATTGAGTTTTAACGATGGCAGGTACTACTACTGAATAAATGAAGTATAAATTTTCATCACAGTTTTTTTATATGTATCACGTAATGAAACATTATTTACTGATAACTATAATGGAATTATACGCTAATACAGTGCCCAAATTCTATTCTCATATGAAGTGTGAATTTTTTGTTGAACTTAACATCAGAACAACATCAGGGTTTGTTTATCTTTGACTTTTTAATTGGATATCTCCAAGAATAAACTGTTTACCTCAAGTTAAGTTTTTTATAATTATGAATCACTTTATCCCTGTCGTTAAAAATGAACTTGTTCGTCCTGGAAGAATATTTACTAATCTGTTGAATTGTCAACAGAATTCCTGTTAAATGAGAATAAAACTTTGTTTCCAAAGTATTTCCCATCACACAGGTGTCACTGACTGAGATAACGCGTCAGTTTAATGCAACATCAATTTAAGGCTCGAAATTCAAATCATCAAATGTCAGTAGTACATATGTGCCATTTTGTACAGTATATAGATCATAGCACAATCCGTTATAGTTGTAAGCTTGTAGAAATACTAGTTTTCTACTGAATTCGCTCATGACAATGTACAGTCATACAATTTCTGTCAAGCTAAGTGATTGAAATCTATTAACTGCCATACTTCTCAGGTAACAATATCTTCAGCCTTTAAATTGTTCAGAACTTAGTATATTCCGTAAATTAATACCTCCTACTTAAATAAATGCTATTACGCTTCTGAGGCACCTAATACCGATGAATGACGTAGAGATAGTAGTCGTTTTGTGTTACAGATTTTCTGCGTTAAACATTAGTTAGACTTCTAAATACTAAAATCACGGAAGTTTTTCGTTACCTAAAATTATGTCTAGATAAGGATACGAAAACCTAAATATTTCAGAACGTCTAGTTCTACAATCATTTTAGATTTATCTCTTATTCATAAGCTTGTCACAAAGACCAAAGAACTTAGAGTAAACATACACTTGAAATACACGTATTAGGGCTCCCGAGAAAGCAGTCATAGTGGTGTATTTCAAACACTTTAAAGTGATTTTCTATAATGTACGTCACTATAGCATTTAGGGATGAAGGGTACCAACAAGTGTCAAACTCAAGTTCAGGACTTTCTACTGGAAGACTCCTAACACCTGATGCCGAAACAAAACGCACTTCTGTGTCATGTCGTTTCAATCAGCAGATGGGTTGTAAGCTTGATCGGTAGAATCCAAACAACACGTAGAATCGGAGCGCTACGTTAAGTACCACCTGGTGATCAGTTTATGTATATTTAACAGCACCGTAAGTAGTCTTAACACCCTCATGCGTGTTGGTGAACCTAAATCTTTTTTACCTTCGATCTCAGTTCGAAAAATACTTGTCTATTTACTAAAGTACGTTTTATATATATATAGTACAAATGAATCCAGCTCAGAAGCCTAGAGTAGGTTTTGAAACATATCAAAGTGAAAAAAATAAGGGTCATGAGGTCATGAGATCTTGTATTTACAAATTTAGGAGATTAAAATTAACAAGGTGATGCAATATTGACCACTGTGTGTTTCTAAATACATAGATCAGGTTTGAGTCTTTTAATTGTAACTGTTCCAGCAAACCGCAAAAGAATGGGCTTCATTTGTTTATTGATCATTTTGAATGACTTTAATACGTCGAATTTATGTCTAATATCAAGCAAATACCAAGCCATTTCACGAATTAAGCCTTATAAACCCTTAAGACCCAAATTCTTTGGGATATGTTCATGAAAACTGAATATAACGACAAATTACACTCGCTAGACCTCAGTCAATAGTGCCATGCGAATGGAAAGATTCATAGATACATTCATCGGAAAGACACGTGGGGGGGGGCTTTATTTAGGCTTCAACAGCTTTTGCCCACTCACTACCAAAAAATGTCTGATAAGAACACTTTTCAGCTGTACACGTAAACTGTGCTCTGAAGAACAAATTGAGGAAGAACTGACCTTTGTCAAAAACTGTCTACGCGAAAATGGCTACCCACGAAAATTCATTGATAACTACGATAGGATAGAAGCGAAGAGAATTAAGTAAAGTACAGTTGACAAGAAGCTCGTCTGTCTATATCTTGCCTTCAAAGGGGATGAAATTGCCACACAGATGAGTTATAGACTGAGTGCAGCAATAAAATGGACGTATCCAACCGACCTGTTAGTCTGTGCATATCACATTAAACGCTCGTTGAGATGGTCCAAAGTGGGAAAACTCTCAACTCTTGTTACCTCCGATTGTATCAACCAATTCACATGTACTTGGCAAAGCGCATACACCGGAAGAATAGAGAGAAGGATTCTTGTCCGCATTCATGAACATATCTCAAAGAATTTGGGTCTTAAGGGTTCATAGGGCTTAATTCGTGAAATGGCTTGGTATTTGCTTGATATTAGACATAAATTCGACGTATTAAAGTCATTCAAAATGATCAATAAACAAATGAAGCCCATTCTTTTGCGGTTTGCTGGAACAGTTACAATTAAAAGACTCAAACCTGATCTATGTATTTAGAAACACACAGTGGTCAATATTGCATCACCTTGTTAATTTTAATCTCCTAAATTTGTAAATGCAAGATCTCATGACCCTTAGTTTTTTTTTCTCTCTCTCTCTGACTATATATATATATATATATATATATATATATATATATATATATATATATATATATATATATATATATATATATATATATATATATACAGATATATATATATTCATTGGTAGTAGGTCCTGTGTGGAACCTTGTGATACCTAATTTGATAACCAAGGGTATTATGCTCGAATATCTTGGGGAATATAAGTTTCACTAGGCACGCAGATATGTCTGTCTTGTTGATGAGTAAGAACATGTAGTCTGTGGCCTGTCGATTAACTAGTGAAACGTAGCTCCGGAATGTGACGCGCCACTGTGATGCACCACTTAGCTTACCCGCAAGCTTTTGAACCTTCTTTATGAGGTAAATAATGATGAGGTCGCCCTAGCCTGGAAATGAAACGTTGAAGAACAAACCTCGAGGGTCAGGGAACATGAAACAGTTACCTTTTTCGATTTTCTTCACCAGCACTTATGACTTGAGAGGTCTATTGATTGCCACCCGTAGATCAGATCGTGTAAACATAGCTGTGTGGCGATAGTATATATATATATGAACATTAATTAGAAGCTATTAACGTAGGTGCATATCAATATCTGCAAGTATCTTGTTAAATGTAATGGTTTCGGAACTTATGAAGTTAGAACTCTTTTGAAGTATCTGATATGTTTTGCTGATTGAATTCAAATTTTTATCATGAAGGTTGGCCCCACTTTGTTACCCACACCTTACACATAAGGTAGTTTTTTGCAAACTGTTTAACTCCAATATTTCTTTCACAGTGTCCGTTTGATATTGTTTAGCTTCCAATACTAGGAGGGATTTCATAAACACATTTAGAGCTTCCGTACAGTATTAAGACGATATTTGAACAAGTATTTAGGTTGATATTACACGAGACAACAATCTGAGAAATTCTTTGAAGCTTCCAGTAATCTCAGGTTAGATTTTAAAAAAGGTAAATGTCAATCATCTGAACAACTGAGTGTGCTCATATAGTCACTGTTGTAAATGGTTCAGCTTTGCCAGACGTGAATCAAAACTAAGCAGAGAGGCATTTCAGGAATTTTCGGGTTAAGTTTGTTTCATAAACTGCCGACAAAATCCGCTGAAAATAAATATCCTAAAGGGTGGGTTTCTTAAAACAAGCTGGAATATATGATGAGTCAGTGATCATCAATTCAAATACATTATTCAACACAAGCATTTTTCACGCTAACAATACGACCTTCCCAGATTATCACTTCTAGGTTTTTCCATCCTGTTATATGGATGCAGAAATCAATATTCGCCTCTATGACACTTAACCTTGTTTCTTCTGATATGTTGCCCCCTCCAGATTTCACTCTCACCTTTATAACGTAAATTACCTGACTTTTGTCGTTCGATAAATGGGTAGAATTCATGTCCAAAACACCTATGTTTTTCCAGATAAACTTATTACCAAACTTAAGTAATTTACCATTTACGGGTTTAAATACAACACTGTGATTATGTTCATTTCCCTGTTATCCATGTCTACTGTGTAAAGCCTAACGATAATACTCAACTGAACAGGGGGGGGGGGGTAGGGAATTATGATTCATTAGCGGTTTTGATCAGTGAAATGTAACTTTATATTCAGCATTTTATTTTACTCCCACTTTATTAAGTATAAATCTACGAAGTTAAATTACAAACGAAAATAATAGTAATAACAATGAAGATCTGTAGAAAATGTCTTTTCGGTTTCGGTATTGTTAAAAAGGTATTTCTGCAATTACTCACTTTTCTAGTTCAAATTCTGATTGTATGCTTTCAAATGTTTCACCCAATTTCGTCCGAAGTTCAATTAACTTTTGGTCTACATCCTCCATTTCTTTTTCAAGTTTATTAATCAGTTCTTGTTTAGATTTCATTGACTCTTCTATATTTTTACGTCTTATTACAACAGTCTTCTTACGTTCCGATGCTGCTCTGAAATGCGGACATAAAGAAAATGGAAATAAAGTTGAAAATTTGAGAGGAACTGATTTGTATTAATTGTCTTAGTCAGTAACACTACGAACTTGTAATTAAAGCGGTATACCTTGAAAAGTGGTGTTAGATTATCACGTAAAAAGCACTTAAGATAAAGAACTAAATATTTGAAGAAAGTAACAGGTCACTAGAAATAAGTGTATGCAGATGAGTGAGGCATTAGTATTATCGTATACAGACCTCGTATATTCATTCAGACTTCGGGAACTCTTCCAGTGACGATTACTTGTTGTGCACTCATTACTGACCAGTGAAGTGCAACTAGTCTGGGACACGTGAAAGTAATGTATAGAACTGTCACGCGTGGTATTGAAAAAGGTCGGAATACTGAAGGCAAGCGTAGACTTCTTGCATTCAATAAACAAAAACTGACATACTGATTTACTATAGATTTTCTTTTTGTGAATGGTAAGACTATCACTCCTTCAACACTGGAAGCTGCTTTACTTGAAAGTTTTCATTCTACACTTTTAGAGATAGAAAAAGGATAAAATCGTTGGCATACCAAACATACTAATGGTTAGAAGTTGGTGCTGATATTACTAGACTACCAAGGAACTGATGTCATTATTTGAATTTACTATTCTGTTCCTACTTCAGATGCTTCACTATACTGACTTTCAAGGGTGCAAACGTGGTAGCATTCGTTAGTTTTGTTCGCTACTGCATAAATATAAGCAAGATAACACCTATTTCTCTCCGCCTGTGTATCGTAGCAACAATCTATCTCATTATGGTTTGGCCAAGTAACTCACTATATTTGAAGCCGACTGATTTATTTTAAGTTAGTTTACTCAGTAAATTTCTTCAAGAAATGTACTACTGAACAACCAAAGTGGTTATAAATCACTCAGGTTGTTCTGTGGATTTTGCCATCTAGATCAGAGTGATCTGAGCACCGAACGGTCGTTTTACTTGTCTAGGGCCGAGATCATCAGCGGTGTACTAGAACAAATTCAGCTCACAGAGCTGAATTGTACAGACCACCTGAATCTGGCTAGCTGACTTTCATGGACCGGTATATTTTAAACAGGATGATCAGTCTGCAAATAATTGACAAGTTGAATGGTTTATGTTGATGTATCTCAAAACTAAGTAGTTTTTCAACTGCTAAAATGTTGTGTCAACATTTTCTTGTCTGTTTCTTTCTTGTCATTCTTCTTAATAATATTATTCAGAAAATGCCTTCGATAGTCAGTCATTCTCTATCAATACTTTTCTTATTTTAGGAATTTCGTTTTCTTCATCTTCCGTATCCGTCACAATATTTTTAGTACTATTTAATAGGTCCAACGTTACTGTGGTTTTAACGTTCATTGGATGGTCAGATTGAAAATTTAGATATTTATCAGAATGTGTAGGTTTTCTGTAAATTCTAATTTTAAATTCTCTTTCAGGTGTTCTTTGAATAAGACAGTCTAGGAAATTCAACGTTCCTACACTCGATTTGGTTTCATTTGTAAATTTTATGAAATTCGATATTGAGTTTAAATGTTGTAAAAAACTTTCAAGTTCTGTTTTGTTGATGATCACAAAGATATCATCTACATATCTATACTAAAGCTTGGGTTGACAATGAAAACTATTTAAAGCTCTTTCTTCGAATGCTTTCATATATAAACTAGCTACAATCGAGGATACTGGTGAGCCCATCGCAACGCCATTAGTTTGACGGTATAACTTGTCCCTAAACGTCAAATATGTTGACTCTAAACATAATCTTAAGCATTTCATAATGTCTCCTCATGATAAGGGATATCCATTTAGTATTACTTGATCGTTATCAAGTAAACTTTTTAAAATATTAAGTGCATCAGGTATAGAAATACTGGTATAAAGAGAAATTACGTCGAAACTTGCCATAATTTCTTCTTCTCTTATCGTGTTAACCATTAGTTTATTCTTGAATTTTTCTGAGTTTCTAATATTAGAAGTAATCTCATGTTCCAATGGTTTCAATAATTTTGATAAATATTTTGATAGACGATATGTTACTGAATTAGTGAAGTCCACAACTGGTCTAAGCGGGATGTCAATTTTATGTATTTTTGGTCTCACATAAAATCTTGCTGCTGAATTCGTCTTGAATGCTAACGAAAGCCATGTTGCATTCTCCAGTTTTGGTTTTAACTGTCTGAGTTATTTGCATGTTTCGGCTTTCATTTTGTTTAGTGTGTTAGAGATCTTATTTGTTGGTATTGGTTCATATGGACTTGAATTAATATGTTCCAATGCCTTTTTATCATAATCTTCATTGTTTAGTGTAACTGTGACATTACCTTTGTTAGCATCGGTTATCACTATTGCTTTGTTCCATTTTAAAGCCTTTAGAGCATAAATTTCTTGCTTTGTGAGATTTGATATACCAGGTTTCTGGTTCGAGATGATACCTCCGATTTTTTGTTGCACCATATCTGCTTCTTCTTTTGGTAACAGCGTTATAACTGGTTCTATAATGGGAGTTAGCTCTATCGCGTTCAAAGGTCTTCTCGTTAGATTAAAATTCAGTCCCTTTCTAAGTACTGTCATTTCATTATCATTTAGCTGTCTATTTGATAAACTGTATACCACTTTCGAATCTGTTATGTTTTTTTCTTTATTTGAGTTCATTTTGTTTGGATTTAGTAGTCGATCGAATTTTGACTTTTAGGGACAAGTTATACCGTCAAACTAATGGCGTTGCGATGGGCTCACCAGTATCCTCGATTGTAGCTAGTTTATATATGAAAGCATTCGAAGAAAGAGCTTTAAATAGTTTTCATTGTCAACCCAAGCTTTAGTATAGATATGTAGATGATATCTTTGTGATCATCAACAAAACAGAACTTGAAAGTTTTTTACAACATTTAAACTCAATATCGAATTTCATAAAATTTACAAATGAAACCAAATCGAGTGTAGGAACGTTGAATTTCCTAGACTGTCTTATTCAAAGAACACCTGAAAGAGAATTTAAAATTAGAATTTACAGAAAACCTACACATTCTGATAAATATCTAAATTTTCAATCTGACCATCCAATGAACGTTAAAACCACAGTAACGTTGGACCTATTAAATAGTACTAAAAATATTGTGACGGATACGGAAGATGAAGAAAACGAAATTCCTAAAATAAGAAAAGTATTGATAGAGAATGACTGACTATCGAAGGCATTTTCTGAAGAATGACAAGAAAACTAAGAGAGAGGAGAAGTCATGGACATCAACAATAACAATTCCATACAGAAAGGGTACTTCAGATCAAATGCAAAGAGTTTGTGTAAAGTATGGTATTAAGGCATATTTTAAACCCTCAAATTCTTTGGAAAAAACATTAGTCAAAGTGAAAGATGTGGTCCTAAAGATGGCACAAAACAACTGTGTATATAAGATAAAATGTACGGAATGTGAAGCCAACTATATTGGTGAAATTTGTAGGCAGCTGAAAGTAGACTGAATGAATATAGATTGTGCAGTGAACACCCACCAAAAAATGAAGTGAAATTGAAAAATTTGGAAAAGAGGTCAGCAATAGCAATGTACGCCATTGAAAGTGAGCACAAAATAGATTTTGACAATGTTGATATACTAGGGAAGGGTTTCCTTACACATAAACAAAGATTGACCTCAGAAGCCTGGCATATTTTAACATCAACAGATGCTGTAAACAAAAAGGAAGGTGTTGATTTGTCACCTATATGACAGACTATAATTAATCAAAAACTTTAAAAAAAGATCACGATTTAAATTTGCACTTTAAAAACCAAAAAACAACATGTATCAATTGTTGTAGATATACAAACATATTTTTCATTTTTATATGATAAACAACGAATGACATAATTACTATTTATAGATATACTTGTTATTCTCCGTTGTTTTTGTTGGATAGAATTGTTTGACCTCTACTGGCATATGGGCTCCTATGCGGATACCTCGATATTGCTTGAATGTTAATTATGATAAATTGGTTGGTTGTGCCTAGCAAAAGAACTTTGAACAATTCGATCCAACAAAACAACGGAGAATAACGAGTATGTCAATAAATAGTAATAACTACTATCCATCGTACAAGAAGCGGCTACCGTTCCTCCGTGGCATGGTGGATAATGCCTTGGCGCTTGGGGCGATGGGTACGGGGTTCGAGCTCCAGTGGGAATAACATCACTGGGGTGCAGGTACATCCAGATGACGAGTTCCAACTACGACGAAAAGCGCGTCCTGGATTCTTCTGCTAGCCACAACCAACCAATTTATCATTATTAACGAATGACATTTTCCATAAAAAGTTTACACACATACGCATACATGCACTTTGATTATTGAATCGTTCTTTGATGACAGATGACAAAGACTGCATGAATTTATGACTAACTGTAAGGAATCAGTCTGAACAACAAAACAGCTAACCAATGGCATAAAGACAGAAATTTCTACATGTTCCTTTTGACGGTAAATGTTTTGATGTTAAATAAAAATCCGAATATTCTGCTGAAGAAGCTGTAGCATACACCGCAAAACGTTCAGAAAAATCTTGTTTTCGATTTTCTAAATACACTGGGATTATATAAAAACTCACGTATGTAATGAATCTACCTGACTCGGCGCTCAACTTCTCTCAGAACATTTGCAAAAATTATTGCCTGGATGTTTATAATTAATATTATGGTCTAAGGAAACTGGTTTCACATTGTTTTCCCAATTGAATATCTATTCGACAATGATAGTTGGAGTGGAACGAGTTAGCAAGCTTGAAAATTTGTGTCATATACCGTGTATATATATATATATATATATATATATATATATATATATATATATATGTTGCAACTTACTCATATAATCTGTTGAGATAGTCAAGTGAGTCAATACAGAATAATTCACTGTGATCTCTCTCACGCAGTTGATCCAGGTTGAAACTAGTATTACAGTAAGCGTCTTCACGTTGCGCGTGTTCCTAATCCAATGAAGAGTGCTAATGAAATTGCCTGAACACGTATTACCTTTGCAGAATCTGTTTTCACACTTTCTGCACATTCAGAATGATTGTAGAATAGTTCATTGGATAAGTTGTACCAAGCTTGGATAAACTCCGTTTTGGTTAACTGTAAGTTATTGTGTTATTTTGTTAATAAATTTGAAAACTAAAGTAAATACCTCTAAATAATTCTTCTCTTGTTCCCATACTTCACAATCCTCTTTCTCCTTGAAATACTTAGATAAACTTGTATTTCTAAAATTTAATAAAATTCTGTTTACTGCTCATACAATGAATAAACTGGCATCAATAAAATTTACTCCAATAAATTAATATTTGTTTCACGAATGTGTCCTTTTTTATGTCAGAATATGTTCCACAACATAGCTTGCCACCAGGTGCTGTTAGCCATCGACTATGTTGCCATTTGAGCTAGGAGGTGAAGTATTTTGTCCATTTTCTTCTTTAATTTGTCTCCAAAGCCTTTAAATCTATCAGAGATCAGTTTGTAGATATCAGAGTATGAGTATGATTATAGCTCAAACATTAAACTTTCATACACTGGGAACCTTTGAATTCCGTATCTAAAGCTACTCTAGATATTATAGTATTTATTTTACTGGATGTCTGAAAATGTTCTTGCCCATAACAGCAGAAGTTAGTCACGATGCCAGGGCTAGTTTGCTTGTTGAATATGCCTTTCTCATAGATAATAAGAGGGGCTTACAATCATACCGAAAACGAACTTAACGTTATCTAGCAATACAGTTCAGATAAACGGATTGACTTACAGCATCTGGGACTTATCTGGGAGGCAAATGAAAAGTAAGATTTAACTTTTCTTGGATATTCTGCTCTTTCCAATAGTGTTCACTAGGGATTCACTTCGCTCATCCTAATTATTATAAACCTGTTATAATTCATCTCATAAAATTTTCTACGACGCGAATCTAGGACAGAATGGAGGAGGACAGATATACTAACGAGCGTCCTGTTGAATTAAGTGAACACAAGAATAGATCTATAGATCTATAGGTAGTGTCCACCACGGACTGATGCCACTCGGAGAACTACTAAAAATAGGGGAGCACTGGATAGCTGTTTCGTTCCATAATGGGAATCTTCGGCAGTATGCACAAACGACCCCTCCTCAGGGGTCAAACCCATAACCCTCAGGTCTCATGACAGTCATGTAGCTATTCAGCAACTGGAAAATTCAATAACCCACATTTACCTACTTCATCATCCAGTGCCATTGGTGAGTTTTTGTCCTCACAACCAACTTGGTTGACCTCACAATTCGCCACTTCATATTCGGACTTCAGGAAATCTACCTCGAAATATGTCATTGACGAGCTCCAGAAAGTAGTTCAATTTGGAGTTTTTTGAGGATGTATTGATTTCAGTGTAAACCGGAACATGGATTCCAGCTTGCAGAAACTTTTAGTGTTCAATGAATATCATTCGATTGATTCGAAATTTCCAAAATTGATTGCTACAAAAAGGATTCACATGCCCAATCTTATTATAGAATGAAGTTTTGGACCAACCAGTTTGCAGGCTAAGGAAAGCAATGTAAGATATGCATATCTAGATAGCTGAAAACTGTACAGATTGATATTTATGCGCCACAATCAATTCAACCTAAATCCGATGTAAACTTCCCTACTAAGAATAACTGACTGATAAGTTTATCTCATAACCTCAATTCGTTTGATTCAGTTGCTAGCTCATTTACTTATGCGGTCATAAATGCTATAGTAAGTACATAAACATGAAACTATTCTTGAAAATATAATTGGTAGTTTCTTGATGCAGACAAATGTTTTCTGACTATCATTTCTACTCACTTTGGTAGTCTCGAATAAAATATGTATTTGTGGTTAAATTTAGCTGCCAACTAATACTGAATTTTTAAAAAGAGTTCCGAGGCACCCACTTTTACCTATCATCATCATGTCGATTGGATCGACATTGAGAAACTAACATACTTCTTCTGTAAAGTGAATCATGAGGCTGTAGCGCTGAAGACAACCGATAAGACACAATGCATTCACCTTTCGTAATTGTTTACATTCAGTAGCAAAGTGTATCTGTAACATTTGGGAAGCTGTACTTAGTGACACAATAAAATAAACGTGTCGCTTATTCCTTACAAAGTTGGTTATACTATCAGTCGGCTTCCTGTGCTGATATATGATGCCTAGGATCGCATCATTTTTATTGATTTCATCATGCGCAAAATGTGGCAATCTGATCTACAAACATTAGATTGATATCTTTTTGTCCATCGTCTATCTGTGCTTTGCCACAAATTGTCTACAGCCAGTTAGCCCCTGATATAGTGTATTGGGATTTTCAGTCAATTAGCTTACTTATTACGTTTAAAACTTGGGTGAAACATGGTTAGACCTCGAAAATATTCTGTATGACATTCAGTGATATTCAACGATGGTTCTAACAGAGAGAAATTTTGATACCAATGCTGTCTAGTTTGAAACCCTTATTATCTCACTCCAACTATCATCGCTAATAATTAAGGTTCTAAGATGTGAATTTCTGTATTAAAACAACTTCTTACTGTTTCTCATACATGAAGAGTGTGACAAGAATGACTTGACTGTTTTAAGCAGGTTAACAGTCACTGATAAAGTCAAACGCACAATGAAACACTATCGAAATTCAGTTCTCACAAGAAGTAAGTTACATGATAGCTTGTATTCATCTGTTTTCCAACCTTCGACTTTAAGTTATACTGTGAGCAGTCAATTCTGCCTGCACAAATGTAAAAGACAGTTAGTTATAGGCACTTGGGAACAGAATTATGCGTCGAATAATGATTTTACCTTCCTTCCCTTTGATAAACATATTCGCTAACCGTAACCACTGAATAGTTTCAAATGTGATAAGTATTCATAGGACAAAGTGATCCGTGAGAAAAATACTTCATGAATACTGATAATTAAAGATAAATAACTGTGTGAATGAAATATATCTAAAAGGCATCAGCTTCTGCAAAGAACATCTCATATTCCCCAAAGCATAACCACGTGTGCCATGGGATCGAAATCCTCCTTAAATAATTTATCAAACTGTTGTTCTTCTTTTAACTGAAGCATGCAACTTATCCAGTGATTTGTCACGTGACTAATCTTGTATTTTTAAATAAGGATAAAAGAAATCAAATAGTCTGTACTTATCCGAAATCAATTTAGTTATTCATTTTCATCTCATGATAAACTATAAGTATACCATTTCTTGATGCACCTTAAATGCATAAACTTCATACTTCATTTTAACAGCTTAAACGATTTATTGCAGTTGATAGGCAAGTAGATAAGTTGAGATAATTTCGTGTCCTTAAAAATGATTGTCATATTATTAAAAATGAAATAAACAACACTATGAACTATAGGACATTTAATTTTATCGAGCTTTTTATAAAAACCTGCAAGTGATAAAATTATTTATGATTCAGGTTTATGGAGGTTTCCTTTCAAGGTAGTATTCTTCACGGACCAACACCAATTGGATAACTGTTAAAAGCCTGGGGGTATTGAACAACTGTGTTGTCCTTGGTAGACAGTCGTGCTAGATTGTGAATTGACAGAAGTAGGAAACCGTGGATCATTGAACTGTGACCTAACAGCTGGATGGTTAACGTATTTACGCGAAACCCAAAAGTTCGGAGTCTGATCTCTGGTGGGCTCATGGGTGCGTACTTCTAAGGACTTCCATACTAGAACGGAACAGCTATCGAAGGGTTCTAGGTTTCCAATGGTTCTTTAACTGATGTCAGTCCATGATGAATACCACCTTGGAAATTAGTTCTATCCATCGTTATTTACATATCTGTCAGGCAATATTAATTATGCTTGAAATTCCGAGGATAACAGAAGATGAATTTTACATCTATCTTATTAAACTTAACTAATTCTAAAGATCATATATGTATTTTATAAACTACCTGAAAAATCGGTTGTATTTTAGTCGAAACAGTAATTTTATTAAATTTCTGAAACCATACAGATAGTAATTATACCCACATAAGTATTCGAAAAGTCTGTAGTAAAACACCAGCACCCAGTAAATTAATACTGGCGACTACAAGTTATTTGGTAGGTCGTTTTACCACAATATCATTAAAAGACTAACTTTAGATGTTTCAGCCTCTGCAGCAAAAGAATCAAATCTTTGAGTTACTAAGCTTAGCTGAAGTGAATGACACTGTTTATTCCAAACAACAAGTGTGGTGCTGTATGAAACTCTCAGCTTGCAATGGTTCAAAAGAACTCATTCCTTGTACAATTTCTTTAAAAGAAATAATCATTACATTTGAATAATCTTAATAATAGTAGTAAAACCCACAAAGTGAAACGGGCACACAGTGTTACATTTTGGGCTGGTTTAGACTGGTGAATGAATAGAATATCGATCATAATTTTAGTGATGGTAGTTTATTCAGCCAGTACCAAAATCTTCAATTCGACATACTGATCCAGGGAATAGTAATACACTGTATTTCTACGCATTTATAAGCCCATCTATGACCAGTGTATCGTTTATTCTTTGTTCTGTTGTTAGCTTGAAAAACGACAGTTTTGAAAGTGTCCAAGAGTACTTGTTGCGTTTAAAAGACATTCAAAAGATTAAGACAAATTGAAAGGGTAGAATTTGATGTAACAAATAAGGTGGAAAAATCTCGGCACCCAAAAATCTAAGCAGGCCCCTAAAAGAATTGATTCTTGTTGGCTACTTTCACTGTGAATGACTCAGTTAGCTTGAGATAATAAGGAGTTAATAAGCAAAAGACTGGTCAGTCAACAAAAGTAATACCTATAGATGTGTGGACATCAACAGAGGATGATAAAAGAGTTATCCAGTAATTCGTACACAATTACTCATCTATAGCTTAGTAGTAAACTTCTAAAAATTCATCCAAGCTACTATGTTAGTATTACTAATATAAGTGATCAATTTAAACATACATATTCAAATTACTCGATATATCATCAAGTTCATTGATTATTTGATGAATAGCTTCATTTAGGTTGTACTTTGTTTGGAAGTCACTCAGTTGATTTTGTAAGTTTTGATAATATTTCTTAAAACATAAAGTTATCCATTCATAATCATGTTTATCATCATTATTATTCTCATTAATGTTTGCATCAGCTATGATACTACCATTATGATTAGCACTAATAGTACCTACAGTATGGTTTTCATTGATTTCAGTTATACTATTTTCAGTCTTCCTGTTATTATTATTTCCTGGAATTGGATATGTTTCTATATCATTGCCTTCTACAAAATTAATTTTCATAAACAACTTGTTCAAGTTATGATTGGATATTCTTTCAAATAACTGATCCTTCACTGTATTATTATTATTATTATTATGACTGTTCTTAGTATAATCATTTAGACAAATCCATATAACTGCACTAGATATCCATTTTGAAGTTATTTTTTGACATATAATTGATCTTTTCTTTTCTATTCTATTAACATTATTGACTAAGTTGAGATTTAATTCACTTAGCCTTTGATTCAGTGTTTGTTGGACATTGATGATCAAGTCTAACGTCGACTGGTTGTAATAGCTTTCGGTCAACAATGTTTGAGCAGATCTAAAAAACAGAAAAAACAATAAATATTTACTTCACAATTCACTTAGTGGTGACTGATAGTGGAATCCAAGATTAAAACATCATCCAATTTGGGACTCCTCAACCGGATGTACCTGCACTCCAGTGAGTGATGGTCTACTCACTGAGGCTCGAACCCCGTACCCATCGCTTCAGACGCCAGTGTTATCTACTAGGTGACTGAGATATCAGATGCATTTCTAATGCAACGGGTATCAGCTATTATTATTTGTCGGTACTTGTAATTCCCCGCTGTTATATTAGATAAAAATGATCGATCTCTGGTGGTATATCGGCTCCTCTTCAGGAACTATCGAGGCACCTGAATAGGAGTTCCCATGTCAACAGACGCCGATCAATTAGTTTCAGTGTAACAGGGAGGAAGTACAAGTATAAACAAATAAAAACATATACGTTGAAAGAAAGAAGGACTAAAATTGAAACAAATATCACTCAGAGAATCTAATTTATTGAACATAACTACCTGTTTGTCTACTTTTATTTTACAGCTTACATTTTAAAAACCGATTGGTGACGGGTAATTTGATTTTGAACTTTTAGTTCACTTGTTCAGAAGAAAAATGACTTAGGTGATGTAGACATGAAGCAGAATAGAACAGAAGACATACTGTAGAGTGCTTAAGAGCAACAATGTTCCTGTCGCCTAAATTAATTAAAATTAAAATGCTTTCCTACACTAAAGAAATGAAAGTTTTATAAGGCAGATGTACCTGTCAGTGACTTTAGTGACGACTGGAATAAATGTATAGTGATCAACTACAGACAAGACATCATTTCATACAGAAAAATGATACATTGATATTCTGCATGAATATGCTACTAAAGAGATTATAATAAATAAATTGCATTCCTTGTTTTACATTTTTCTGAATTTCAATGCAGTTATGGATGACATTGTAATTTCCTTTTTTCTGTGTGTTATTTGAAATCAGAATATATTAACCAACAAAAAGTTACACATTAATCAATTTTTCAAGGTAGATAAGGAAGAAAGTGAAATTTGACTCATGAAAAACGATTCTCAGTTTTCCGTATTTGCTTTACGGTGTTTTTGACGACAAAGATACGACTAAGAAGATATACGATGTCGGTAAAAAGGAATTCTAAGATGAAGTAGCTTTCTTGACGACTGTGGAGGAATCAACGTGACAAAACTTATCTGATTTACCTTAAAACTGATAATTACTTAGTGCTGGGTCAGGAAATAGTATGGAAGCCTAAAACACAGGTTTTAACAGTAATATAAAATGAATTGATCAGATAATAATCTTTATTTAGATATGAAAGTACCTTCATTATCAGGGTGAATATGCTGACAAAATCCGGAGTCTTTTGAACGATTTGAGCAGAGAGCTGAGTATGTTTGGCATGCGTTTCACTTGCACCTGTCAAATATAAGATTGATCTGCTGCAAATACTCCTAGTATAATGATAGGCAATGAAGAAGTGGAATATGTTGAACACTTCACTTCATTGGGGAGCTCCATAAGTTTGAACTGGCTAATTGCTGACGAATTCTCTGCTCAGATATTGAAGACCCGTTTCTCACTTACCAACTTGCGTCACCCGTGGCACCCAATAACAAGATATCTAACTATCTATCAAAGGACGAGTAGACCGTGCTGCAGTCCGTTCTGTCCTGATGTATGGCTGCGAGACGTGATCGTTGAAAGTAGAAGAAATGAGGTGGTTGCAGAGTCTTGGGCACAGATTTATTCATAGTTAATACTCACATTTGGTGGAATCATTGTGTGAGCAATGTTGAAGTCGGGTGAAGGGTATTAGGCAAGTCAAGCAAGTCGATTGATGAGGTTGTGAAGCTTAGTCTAATGAGATGGTCTGGACATGCACAGCGTATGCCGAGCCACTGCCTTCTTCGATGTGCCATGTTAAAGGCTGTTGGATTATGTTGGAAGAGGGTTCAGGGTGGCCAGACCAAACATGGCATCAGTCGATGAAGTGTCTTACTGTTGGTCTGAGCTGTGTGGGGAGATGCAGACTGTCTGGTTGGGGTTCGTGAGATGAAAGGAATCAGTGATTGAGGAGTGTTGGTGGTATGGCAGAAAATCGGTCGCAGTGGCGCAGATGTATTCACCCTTTGACTCCTGTTAAAGCTTGAATATTTACATTATCGGTTATTTTCGGATCGTTTATTCTCTCAAACCACTTTATCTACTTAGATATCACTCTTTTTCTATCCACCTGTTCTTTGTATACTGCTATGAATTGTGAGGACTTGAGGTGGTGCACTTGTGTGCGAAGTTCTACTTTGATTTTGTCTGTCTGTCACTATCTATATTCCTTCATCTGATACAGATACTGGATTCAGTTGACTGGTAATTTTCAGATTTTGTCATTCATGGTGCCTATGAGATTTTCACATGCATGTGGATGAGTGAATACACGACATTCTTTTCTACTGTGTGCCGATAAAAATGGTATGGCTGAAACTCCACAGAAAATGAATATAAACATGTATCTGGTACGGTCAAATCGATGAATTACTTACTTCAGGGTTAAGCGAGGTTTTAGTAAGATAGGTAGACTTACCAATAAGGTCTGAAACCGATATGCGATGAAATAACTATTTTCTATGCTGCGCAACCATATCCATCAAGTACCGCCAGATACAATGTTGGGCACAGTATTAATAATGCTGACAATGGCCGATCACATAAGGCTACTTAGATGTTATACCAGAAATATAAGTTAAATCCTGGTTGCGTATGGTTTGAAATGTGCCAAATATTAGGAGATGAATTCATTTTATGATGGAAAAAATCTTCCAAATGTTTTCGTTCAAGCAGTTTTAAAACTCTTAACCTCCGAAGGTACTGAAAAAAGGTACATGAGATGAAAAACGAAGCTACCTAGCAGGTGACTACTAGAATTCCTTCACCTATATACAGAGAAGGAAAATAATACACCAAAGACGGCTGCATCTTGTTGTGGATAGTATCTTCTTTTGGTTATAAATAGTGGTTCTCCATGGAAGTATGTCTGTCTAACTAACTGGCGTCAGATATTTAACTTCTTGTCAGTGTTTCTAACAGCATGATGTGTTTATGGAAATGAAAATTTACCACGAACTCTATTTAATTTCATCATGCCAATGGTCTTAGACAAATAAAAATTATAGGCAACGGGCCGGAAACCCGGTAGCCGCTGGTACGAATCCAACAACGTTCTAAGTTTTCATTTCACGTTCAATCGTCACTCAGGATAAAAAAAATACAAAACTAAAGGTGGTTGCTTAATTAGAGTAAGTAGGTAGTCATGTTTTAGTAAAATTATACTGATTGCAGTTACATCAGCGTGCTAAAATAGGTTATTCAATCACTTAAATGCAGTATTTGATTCTGTAACTGCTACTGTAGAGGTATGTATTACTAGGATGGTTAGATCGCTTTCAACGTCCCTGAAACTAGTGAGGTTTATACAGTCATCTGATGGCTCAGCCTTCACACAATGAGCATGAGTAGTTGTACATGAGTAGACATGTTGTTGTGATATTATGATAGATGACATTATCTCTGCTTTCAGGGGTCATAATTTTGATACAGACATTTGTTTCACGCCATAACGGAACTGTAGCCTTTATAGAAATTTACCATGGTGTGAAGAAATAAGATTTCGTTTTCAGTTTTTAAGGTTTGGAAGTATGTTTAGACTTGAGTTATGAAACAAGGGTTTTCGTGTTAATCCAAAATTAATGGGAATCACTCATTCTAAACTCTTCTGCTCTATGGAGTCATCTGATACTAGTCATTTCAAAGTACAACACAATGAAAATTCAGTTCACAAAGTGACTGAGCAATGAAATCATTCCGTAAATTAGAACAATTTCACTCACTTATCGTTTGTATAGTTGACTTCTTTGTCATCTGCAGATGTTTTATTCACTGAAGGATCATATTGAGTTGGATGAGAAGCATCTAATGTTAATAAATCTTTCCATTCATCAAACTTCTCTTTCAATGGTTTCAAATCATAAAACGGTCCAGCATCTTGTTCATTGTTCAAATTATTCTTTAACTTTTCAATCATATGAATAAAAGTTGATATACCTAGGTCATATAGATTGATTAATTTTATCAAATTACGCTCTTGTATTGTCAGAATAGATGATAACCTCTTTAGACAGCAAATGAAAAGGTGAAGGTAAAGAAGAGTTGATAATAAGTCACCTATGTATAGCGCAGTAGTATAGGTAAGTAGAATACAATACAAATGGGAAATCGTCAATTAAAGGAAAAATGTTATTGCATAATTATAGAAAAAGGTTGGACTTAGTCTTTCTTAGTTCATTGTGTGCTAAAGATGCCAAGATACTACTTTTTTTATAATCATCAATTCCTTCTGTTAAGAAAAAACAGACTATTGTCTCGACTGAGTTATTTAAAGCAACTGGTGACTTCTGAAGCGTTCCTTGCAAATTTTGCACAAATAAAAGCAACAATTTGATGATATCATTGCGGTTTTGAGTGTATATTGACAGGCGCCTACATTTGTGTTGAGCTGTTTTAGCATGGTTCGGAGCTGAATGAACAATGCATCGTAGTGATCAGATCGAAGTAGTACAAGTACGTAACTTCCAGGAATTGTTAACCTGAACCACCTAGGGAAACTATGACTTTCTTAGTTTGAGTACACAGAGGTCAAAACTCAAGGTTGAAGATCTAAGCTAATCCACCTCAAAATCGGTTTCAGAGGAATGGATATATCTTAATCCTATTTCACCTAACGTGCAGTTTCTAATTATTTTACACCTGTCTGGTTTTCACCTTCACCGGTTCTCCATATTCGTTTCTCATTGGTTCATTATTACTGCTATTATTATTTTCATTCATTTAGGATGCCTTTTGCTGATTTCTGTTCATGATCCTGTCTACTATTCCCAATAAAGTTTATGCAAAGCTAACATGAACTCTGGACACTTTAATTGAATTTGCATAATTCTCAATTACTTAAATAAATAAATATTTTATTCTCATACTAGTAATTTAACATGAGAGAAGCCAGTTTACAAGCATCATCACACTGATATATGTTGAAAATTCTACAAGATTTTATGGAACCTGGATGGTATAGAAGGGAGGTCATTAAATTCGCTTAAAAACATCAGAAGATTCCACAAGATATAAAATGAGCAAGAAACTACCACTTTTCAGCGTATACGGAGTGTTAAGGTTCAGCCTGATCATCTACCTTAGAGCTACTTTACTTATGTTGTTGATCAGTAGTGGCTAGCAGTGGAATTCAGGATGCGCGTTTCGTCCTACTTGAGACTCGTCATCTGGATGTACCTACCTCTCAGTGAAGGATGCTGTCTCTAACTATGAAGTGAACCCAGAACTAGTCGAATCGATTATTAATTCGCTACAGAAAAAGCTTGAAATGTAGCATCCCGTTAGTCTGTTTCATCCACCAAAGAAGAACACTCAATAAATCTTTGCGACTTACATTGTAAACACTTTCCAAACCATTAATATCTTTTGTTAAATTAAACCAGTTAAACAGTCCTGATGGTTGTTGACTATTTAAGTTCTCTTTCAGAAATACGAATAACTCATGAAATTCATCTGATGCTGATTTCAGTAGTAATTTTAAATCGTATAAAGTTAACTCATAGTTGGTATTATTAAAAAGTTGTTTATAGAACTTAGGTTGTGCTGCATTCTGTGAACTACACTCTAGTCTTAGTGTTGAACTGAATGCACTAGGTTTGTAACGTTTAGTGTTAACAGTTTCACTTCCTTTTTGTTTACATTTTGCAGGATTCTTGACTTTCTTGTCTGTATAACAGATATCACCATTATCATTATTGTGGTTAATATTATCTTCTGTTTCAGGATTGCTAACCTCATACTGACCAGAATTCAAAGCGATGTGATTGATCAGATCATGTTTTTTAACAGTCCACAATCCACCTATTTTATTTAGCACCTGAAAAGAAAGTAACAAGTTTTGAAGTTTCATCATTAAGTTAGTATTTCACTGGCACTCTTTTATGTTACAAGTCGATAAAAAGAGAATATTACAAACGTATCACACCCGTATTTAATGCAGGCGTTACACCATCCAGTATAATCTCAGCAAAGTGGATACTAATAAATAGTTTACTTTAAAAAGCAAACAATACATAAAAGTCTACTGAAATGATAAAACTACGTATAGCTTCAGTCTAGCCATATACACTGGTCAACATGTCTGTAGAACAAGAATCACCTTTATTGATTTATTAGATTTATCACACAGTGTAATAGTATTGTTTACTGGATTACTTTACGGACACAATTTATTGTCCATAGTCATATCAAGATAATAAATAAATAAATATCAAGATGGTAAATCAATTAAAATGGAATTACACTTTACCACAGTGCACAAGTTTTACTCTTATATTAAAGAACAGGAATCAGTTGTAGAAATAGCCGTTTTAGCTGATAAAACATAATATACTAGTTATACCATCATAGAAGCTGACAACCTCGATACTATCAACCAGTCTATTATCTCCTTTAGCTCTCTAATTTAAGAAGAACAATAAGTCAGTTCAATCATTCAAATGATTAAATGATGTTGAAAAAAAAGATGTAGGTGTATACAGCTCATGAATAATCAATAGATCCCAATTCAATTAATACTAAGCATTTGATGCTGATTCTGCATTTCTGCTACAATGACTCAACTGAAGGTAAGCAGTCCAGTATTCGTTCTGTGTGGCACCTTGTTACACTTTGTTAGTTAGTATAATGAGTTCGTATTTGACACGTCTTACAAATATCTGAAAACACTTTCTGGTTTTAACAAACAGTTCTGTACTCTGTCCTAACTTCATGCCGTTGACGATTAGTCTGTAGCGCTCCCAGTATACCCATCTACAGACTGGTAACTGTTCACATTAGAGTTTTGACCGTAAATGTCTTAAACACAGCATGATAATATAATAGTTATTAAACGATATGATTCATATGAATCTTCACAGCTTTTTAACAAAAAAATTAAGTCATATGTTGGTAACAACACATTAGCTACCGGCTGTCAAGCCAACCAGCCATGAGGAAGTTTTCTTAGTGGTAATGATACAAAATGCAATAAAAATATTTTAGACTGATCCCAATCCCAATAACCTGTCTTCGTAAAAGCACGAGTGATCATCTATCTTAGAACTACTTGACTTATATTGTTGATGGGTAGTGGCTAGCGGTGGAATTCAGGATGCGCGTTTCGTCTTATTTGAGACTCGTCATCTGGACGTACCTACCTCTCAGTGAAGGATGCTGTCTCTACTATGAATTGAACCCAAAACTAGTCGCTTCAAACGGCATATGGGTTCTCCTGCGGATACCCTGATGTTGCCAGCACTTTTATCGGTAATGCTGACAGGCAAACTTTATTTTATTCGTTATTATAGTGTTGCATTAACTACCAATTTTTTTTCTGTAGTTTATTTACTTTAGTTGGTATATACGTGTTGGATAAGCATAAATAGATTCTGTCATTGATTAGTTTCTGATAGCGCCATTTGACAATTGTTGACTTGCCGTGTCTTGATATTCATAAATATTTCAACCGAGGCTTGCACCCGGGAAATATCACTCCAGCTATCGCCGTTGTCTCTTGGACCACTTTAATTCAAATATATCTACCTAATGAACCTCAAATTTGTAAAACGTAGACACATATATGTAATAGATTCTGCTATAAGTCGCCTCTAGCCACAGCAAATCATGTCGTATGTGAGAGGTTTATTATTATTACGCATTAACACAAAAAGTGCGTAATTGTTTCTTCTCGAAGTATTTGTGGTCAGCCTACACCATCTGTTTCGCCAACAAGATATCTGTCTAGCAGATGGTAATTCCAAAAGTTGACAGCTTGTTTCCACGTATTCTATGGTTTCTCAGAAGTGTTGGTAAACGTTAAAGGTATCCTAATTCACTCCTTCCACTAAGTATTGTTTAGGTTAGGTCTAAAATTCTAAGGAGTTGCATCAGCTAGAACGGGTTGGTTGCTGACAAATTCTCCGCTCGGATATTGAAGACCCGTTTCTCACTTACCAACTTGCGTCACCCGTGGCACCCACTAACAAGATATCTAACTATCTATCAAAGGGCGAGTAGACCGTGCTGCAGTCCGTTCTGTCCTGATGTATGTCTGTGAGACGTGATCGTTGAAAGTAGAAGAAATGAGGTGGTTGCAGAGTCTTGGTCACAGATTTATTCATAGTTAATACTCACGTTTGGTGGAATCACTGTGTGAGCAATGTTGAAGTCAGGTGAAGGGTATTAGGCAAGTCAAGCAAGTCGATTGATGAGGTTGTGAAGCTTAGTCTAATGAGATGGTCTGGACATGCACAGCGTATGCCGAGCCACTGCCTTCTTCGATGTGCCATGTTAAAGGCGGTTGGATTATGTTGGAAGAGGGTTCAGGGTGGCCAGACCAAACATGGCATCAGTCGATGAAGTGTCTTACTGTTGGTCTGAGCTGTGTGGGGAGATGCAGACTGTCTGGTTGGGGTTCTAGAGATGAAAGGAATCAGTGATTGAGGAGTGTTGGTGGTATGGCAGAAAATCAGTCACAATGGCGCAGATGTATTCGCCCTTTGACTCCTTTTAAAGTTTGAATGTTTTGATTAACCTTCATTTTTATGCTTCTTTTCTTTCCGTTCACCTTCGTCTACTCAGAAATCAGTCTTTTTCCATGCACTTGTTCTTTTTATAGGTGATGCACTTGTGTGCAAGGTTATACGGTAATTTTGTTCGTCTGTCTGAGAAAGGAAGTTAAGTTAGTTGATGAGATTCAAATATTTTTAGCTTATCGATATGCATTGGTGAATCTTATAAAGAAATTCTCCTTCGTACTGAAGAGCAAATGAATTTGGAGAAGATGCAAATGAAATCTGCCATCACTGTCAATGCTTTCTTCAACGATTATAAAATGGACATTGAAGATATTCATGTAGCACAGGGAAGAAGATTAGTTCAGTGAAGACGATCTTTCTAGTGATTTCCATGAATTTGTATAGCTTTAAAAAGTTTTCATTGTGTTTTACCGACCTGATTTCAGTATTATACTAAATTAGTTTATTCATTAAAATTAACAAGATATATTTTGAAAGCTATCTATAAAAATATTAGTCGCAAATTCATTGCTGATAAGAGTAGGGAGTATTTGGGAGGTTGATTGTTCATGCTTAGTTTCTCGATTTGTATATGGAGAGTGAACTTGATTTTATAGCTTTCAAAGCGATGGTGAGTGAAAAGTGAAATATCTACAAAGTTTTACTTTTATGGTAATTTGGTTGGTTGTGTAGCATCGGACAATTCGATCCAATAAAACAACGGAGAATTACAAGTATATCAGTAAATAGTAATATAGTTTTACTTTGTTTAGGATTCCATCAAAATCAATAAAAATTCCTAGATAAGAGACAACATTACCGTAAATTATGAAGGAAAAAGGGACCTTGAGATTATTGTATGCAAGTGTTTTGCAAATTAATTAATCAGTACTATGAAAGACTAACCTTTTGAGCTGTATCTTGAATGTCCGTTAGATGAACACTGGCGCGCGTTGCATACTCCAGGTTTCGATTTCTTGTGGGTTAAATAATTTGAAGTAAAACTGATAAATATCTTGTCACCAGATTATTAATATATTCGTCAGGTGTAAATACACTTAATTAAAGATTCTGAACGTGTCAAGTGTACGTAAGTAATAAAACAGAGGCCGATGATCTAGTATTCGTGTATTCTAACATCATTAGATAAAGAAACTTTTAGTTTTGAACGCATGCTTAATTCTGTGAAGTTGAAAAGTGAATCTTTCTTCTCTAGTGTGAAAGACACTTTAGTGAAGCTTAAGAGTAACGACCACAGGCAACTGGTTAACAAATGATGTTGAATAACCAGTGACATCGCAAAACCATATCAAAGCAATTTTGAGAGTATAATAAGGGCGTAACATTGTAGAAAACGATTGAATGGGAAAAACTCCGTACACACTTTGTAGAAACCTCCTGCAGCTTTGCATTGCTGTCCATTGACAGAGTCAGCCAACTTCTGTACTTGAGTTCTTTCGTATGACTGTAAATTATTTCATTCCAAGAGCTTAAAATCGAAAAGTGTTATAGAACACACCCAAACAATACTGAAAAACAGTTTGAGGAAGTGTATTTCTCTCAACTTTAATGGCCAACTGGTTAGCTAATTTTTGAAATGGTTAGCTATTTTTAACTACACTGACACCGTATTCGGTTTAACTGAGCAGAGATCAAACAATAGTGGGTCTGTGTTACGCGGCCAAGTCAGCCACGGGACGATCGAAAGCATTATTCTCTGAATCTTCAGTGTTAATTGAAGTTAAAGTTTTCCGACTATTGAATGTACGCATTGCATTTAGTGTATTGTACTTGTCTTCTAGCAGCGTGGTATATTTGAACAAATAAGAAAAAAGACGAATATTTTGTGTGTTTTACCAACATCTCAATCTTGCTAGGGAGATCCTTCTCGAGAATATGAATGTGATGTCAAGCTCCCAGGTTACCGTATTCAGTTTTGATAAAATTAGTGGGAAATTAACAGACTTTATATAAAATCTCATGAAGAATAAATAAACATTCTAGTCACTAACTGGGTCATGGTCTGACCTTATATTCTCACAAATATTGGACACCGAGTGAAGACTTGACATTAGGTTTGAGTTATATTTGTGAAAATCTTAACCTGTTGGGAATAAAATGTTCCGAAAGTTTCGTTTAAAACCTTGTCGGAGCCTCTTCAGGTGAATGGTCATGATTACAATATTATAAGTGAGGTCAAATCGGTTGGTTCAATCTTGTTTAGATTGTTATTGTTTTCAGCATAACTATCAGTTATTTGTAGTCAATTAATAATTGTGGTATACGAATATAAGTCAGTGTGTATGTTATTTCTTTGCGTTACCTGAGTTACCTTTCATACACGAACCTAAAAGACGATATAAGCCCTAGGTGTCAAGATAGTCAATATATAAAATATGTGTACCTTTGGTAAAAAAAACGAAAAGAAGTATGAAGGGATTATTTACACGAAAGGTCTTCAGTTCAAGCAAACAGATTTGTCACAGTTATTGTTTTCAAAGACTACTACTTATTAAAAGCAAGAATAACAATATATAATACTTACTTTACATCATCTTCAAAAACTGAATGCAAAAACGTTTCAAATTTCTCAATTGTTTTTAATAATTCATTTAAATAATACTTGGAAGACATAAACAAATATTCAAGATGTTCAGAAAACCGAACAATTCCTTCTGTGCTTGCTGTTAATGTTTCGTATAATTGTGTGATTAACTTTCTCATCAATAAGAATGATCTGTCATACGTAAATAACCATTTATCTTTAGATGTTTGAAGTTGATCTAAAATGGTCACCATATTTCTGTTGCAAAACTAAAGATATTTGACATATATGTAAAAAAACAGATTGTTTTGATTTATCTGGTGTCTGTTTAACAATTTAAATAGGAAAACTAATTAAAAGAGATTGGTTACTAATTAAACTGTCCCAGACAGAATTACTTTTTCTGCAATCTCACTCAACTGAATATGGTTTCCAGTTTGAGGTCTAGAGGTAACCATTTATTTGCTACATAGAACATCCATAACCCCAGCATTTGTACAATAGATTTTCCTATCTACATGAAACCCATAACTTTTGAGTTTGTTGGCAGCTTTTTGAATTTTATATAGAGTCTGGCAGTAAGCTGCCAAACTAATTGGAAAATAAGTTTCATATCAAAGAATATGTTCAGTTCAAAAGCGAACGCAATTTCACTTGAGTCACAGATTCCTTACCGTTAAGAAGTTACTGTCATATTTAATATTTCAGTTCAAGTCTTCTTGACTCGAAATGCCACTTAGTAACTTTAAGGCTTTGTGAAGTAAGTTCTTATCGCCTTGACTGACTCTTTCATACTAACCTGACCTATACTGACACAGTATGGTAGAAAGTATATCCACCCAAGTCTTAGGTAGTTACTTTAAAAGTATCACAGCTTTAGAGTGTATTTGACTGATTTCTCTTTTTAGATTTAAGCTTATGGATAGCTTTTTTACAATTCATCTCCTAAATAAAGCTTTATGAGAAGAAAATCCATGGAACTTTAGTGTTTAGATGAAATAACTTACCTCGTTGAATGATTACATTTGCTAAAGATAAAGCAAAGTTATCAAACTTCTAACAGAAGTGTTCAATAGTTATATGAGTCAATAAAAGGCCTATGAAGTTAAGGAAACCACTGTTATTCAGTAAAAATTACCAGTAGCAAGAACGTTGCACTACAAAGGATTTATGAAATATGGACCTTGATGATAACTTTTATACAATGATCACCAAAAAAATATCAAAAACTACCTTATGATATATTTTTATGTTGAAGATACTTTATCGAATGTCTTTCAGATTAAACTAATCAGACTGACTTTGATTTAGCTCACAGTAATTTTATGATTCTAACTCTTAATATTATTTAATTCCCAATTCATATTTGTGGTACTTTTGCAAGAGGAATTAAAATGTATGTTCTTTTAAAAAAGTTATAAGCTTGATAATTGATTCGCGTTGCGTTGGAGTTACGAGGAGTTTAAACAAACTGCATGCAAGTCTAAAGATAAGTCATTAGGTAACACATTATAAATGTTGCAAAATTTCTAAGAAATCAAAGGCTAAATGTATGCAAAAATTTACTTTTAATATCTTTACATTTCAAATCTATACAATATATAAAATAGAAAGTATTTTGCGGCTTCTCATTATAAGCATTCTAACTGTTCAACTTTTGATTTCCTTGTATTCATTGATAAAAGTTCTACAGATCACTACCAATTCTGTATGAAATGCTGCAGATAAGGTGGATTGCTTGAGTATGTCCATAAAGATTAGTACTTAGATATAGAAACCTGTCATATCCGCTGAATATATCTTTACGATATCAACTGGCACAGCGATTAACACATATTCTAATAAGCAAATGAAATGAATTACAAGTTTATAAAGGTAGCAAAATGAATTGACCGCCTTCTACCACTGTCCATAACTACTGAACGACAGCAGTATTTATCATGATTGAAACCTAATCATGTCTACACCAGGAGATGCACAAATACGTTACATGATTCAGTGGAAAGCAAAACTTTCAATTTTTTCCAAGCTAATGTCTTAAATTTACATGGAGACATTGTTTTTCTCAAATACGGTGGAAAATAAAATGATGGTGATCAGTGTTAGTTTTTTTATATCAGCGTAGATTTCTGAGCAATGAGATCTCATTAATCACTTTTACGACCGATCACTACGATTACTGTCCTATCACTTGTTATATCTTTCCTCTGATTTCATTCTTTCACTTATGTATTGCCTTCAACTTCATAGCTGTGTATTTTACTTTCACGAAAGCTGGATGCTAATAAACAACAGTTATTTATATTTACTCAAGAAAAGATATTTTACAGGAATGCCTTGCTTAGTAACTGCAAAGGTTCAATTTTTTTCGCCTTATTAAACAAGAATGATTGGTTTCAATTAGTTATTGAACGTTTCAGCATACCGCTTTCTACCTTTGCAGTTTTACGGCGGAGAACTATTTTAAAGATGAGGGTATATTTTTATGGTTTTACTGATATTACTCATAACTACACTGAGAAATTAAACAATTGTTCCCAGCAAGTATCACCGGAAGAGAAAAATCTAAACCTGCGCACAAACTAACTAATGTTGTAGTTCTATCTTCTGAATGACATGCTTTTGGGAATTTCAAAATTGTGTTCATGAGTGAATGTAAGAACAACAATCTGCTTTCAGGTAGTGATATCATAACCTATATGCTCCGAAATGATGTATAAAATTAGGTCGTTAAAATTCGTCAAAAACACAGACTAAAGGAAAACCAGAGCACGAAAATAATTTCCTATTATACAGAGTGTGGTAAGATGAAAACATCTGCCTTACTTTTGCGAATTTTAAGTCAAACTTTTTTCTGAACCGAATTTTTAACACCAAAACGCCTACTAATAATTGAGACAAAAGGTTCGTATTAGCTCTTAAAATCATCTGATGCTTAAATGGTGCTGTCGGATAGCGAACTCGAGAGAATCAAGCAAGCTAAACATGACTACAGGTGTATCGGCTACAGCCTTAGGCACAGGCTTACTAATTAACGCCAAAATCAGCTACGTTACTTGACCTTTTGAAAAAATTTAACCACACCAACGGGAAGTCTTTTGGTAGCATCCTTCACTAAAGTTTGTTTCTACCAGGTAAATAAGTTTAATAAATGCTTAATATTCAGACCTTTTTCGTTTTATCAGTGACTCAAGCAAGCTATCAGCCGTAATGTCTACGACAGGCGATGTCTGTCAAAGGTGACTACCTTCTTAATTTTTATTAGGCTTTTCCTACACGTTTTCATATGGGTCTTCTTCTTGTCTTCTGCCTCCATGCAGACTGACTTTACTGATAGTTTTTTTTTGAAGTTAGACCTTGTGAACTTTACAGTTTCTTTGGATGAAGATGCTGAATAACCACAAAGTTTATAGAATACATACAGTGAGAATTTGAGGATGTTTGAAATACTCTTTTGACCTTTAAAATGTAAATTGTGTATCCGTTGATAGATCAATCACCTCTAAGGAACGAAATTTGTACATTCAGGATTTCATTTCCCTAAGTAGTTGCACCAAATTTAATATTTATATGTCTGATAAAATATGGACACCCAAAACCCCGCTTGCCTTTTGTTGGCAGGATATTCGTCTAGTTACCGAGGGTCAGTTGTACTGCACAACTGTTTGCTTTATTTGTGTACACTTTTAAAATTGATCTCTAAAAGTGAAAGATGTGAAAACTTTCTCAGAGTTTTGATTACCATCCTCTTTTAAACACTGCAAGTGCATAGTGGAACCACCATATAATTTATACAGGTGTTATATACACGGTTTTATAATTAAATGTAACATGAATTTTTACTCAACGAAGCTAAAAGTTCTTCATTCCTTCTCGAAACAACTGCTGCATTCATGAAAGAGGATAAGGTTTGGAGAGTGAAAAGAAGTTAAAGCTTTGTTCTCTAAAAGGAAATTCGATACCTTTTCCCATGATCACACTTATTTGGATTCGAAATCAAACCTACTCTGTCCTATGGTGATCACACGTAAATATCGCATCAAGTTTTGAAGTGTCTAACAGTCCATCTGAGCCTTGTAGAGGATATGAACTTACAGGTTATGGTGTGAGAAATAAGTCGAATGTTTGGTCCGAGATACTAAGTGATGCAACTGAAAATCGATCAGAGTAAAGCAAATATATTCATACTTCATCTTCGTCGTAGCCATCACATCACACTTCGTTATTGTTTTGAAGCCGTTCCACTAACTTTATTGTTTTAAGAAACACTTAATTTCATTAACTTTGTTTCCTAACCTTCAGCTTGTAGCGTCATACACTTCCCTAAAATCAATAGCCTAGGGTTTGACGACTTTCGACATTGATGCTGACCTTGATAGTTTAACTGGACTCGCTAAGCTGAAGGCACCCGGTCAAGCATTCTCGCCATTTGGCAAGTTGTCGTGTTACGTTGCATTGCTCGTATTCGACTATCTAGCCAGTTAGTTGGAACGCATCGGTATTTTGGCACAACCATCCAAATATACTATTCCATCCGACTACACTATCGTGTTCTTCCTTGGTCTCGTATTCGTGGGTATATAACAAGTTCGAATAATTGGTGATTGGTCTTTGCGTCTGTCAAGTTCGCACCAGGACAAATCCTAAAAGCTTTTTTTCTATTACCTAATTATACTGAATAGAGGTGCAGCGACTCAGTCTGTTACAAAGCAATTTCGATAACTCCTATGTTGACTGTGACTGTTAAGATATTTCGTCTGATCATAGTAAATCTGTTTTAAACAATGTTGTATTATGCTAACGATGGATAGTGGGTAGCAGCAGAATCCAGAACGCGCGTTTTGTCCTATTTGAGAATCGTCAGTTGGACGTACCTGCTTCTCAGTGAGCGATGTTTTTCCTACTAAGCCTCGAACCCGAGACCGGTCGCTTCAAATGGCACAGCGTCATCCACAAGCCCATTGGTTTACTACAGCCACTTCTTATGTGACGGGTATAATTCAAACAATAATACAAGTATAAATATACGGGGATAATACAATTGACAAAACTAATATTGCAGTTATTCGAAAACAATATAGACGTGTCCTAAAAAAAAGCACACCAAGCAAACTTACCATTTGGACTATACTTAGTGCCATCTGAGAACAGTGGTGATTTGCTAGCGTAAGTTTTCTGTGATCATTTTCAGTCCTTTGAAGTTGTAGTTGATACAATCTGTGGATATTAGATATCGCTGCCTCACTTGACTTTGTAGTGAACATGGCACGCAGAATCTGCACTTAAGCGTCAATGTGCAACATCAAAAGCCTCCTACCTTTGAATTCAGGCCCTCAATCACTGAACGCAGTCTCAGGTTATTTGATCTTGCTTTGTTGAGACTTCTGACCAGAAAATAACTTTTAAGACATCTTTACCTCAAGACATTCTGTAAGTTGTCTTTATTTCTTAGATTTTCAGTATTCCTTAGATGAAGATTATTTCTACCTGAAATTACGGCCACATAGAGGCTGAAGCAGTACTTTTTTCTGAAACGACTACTTACTTGCTGCAAACGCTGAGTAGATGTTTCAGAATCGTGTTGTATCTCTCGAACACAGTGAGGAGCAAGTCTTTACGTTCTTGGTGTTCAGAGCGGATCTATCGTAGTCAAAAAATTTTGAAGGCTAACCTGTGAAGCTGCTTCCTCAAAAACTGCCATCACGTCGTTTAATAATATTAGACCGATTTTCTTAAATTCGTTTAAATGTTTCTCATCCTCGACTGACACTTCGCAAGAAAAATGGTATTTTCTGGCTATTTTAGCAAGCTTATTGAGCAAAATGATGATATTATTGCGCTTTCTAATTGACAGTTAGAGCAATAACAGAGAAGTAATCATACTTCATATGAGAACTTTGCTTACTGTAAATTATTTTCCTAGTGAAATGCAAATTAAACGGAAAACCTACTTAAGAGGAATGTCTAAGTTGATACAGTTTCAGATGATTCTAAATCCATGTCACTGAACATTACTTTCAGCTTTGAAGTTCCTTTAGTTTTCTTAATATTTCGGAACATCAAAGCATTTTTAGGGATTTCATAAAGTGCACAATCAGACTTTTCAATCCCTAGATCTTTAGGTAAGCCGGGTACTAGTATCACGTACTATATGGTTTCTTATCCTTTAATCTACCTTCTATAATTTCCTCCGGAACGAAATCCATTTTTGAATTATTGCTGTATCAGTGGCTTAGTTTCCAAGGTTCTTGTCCAACATCAGAAATCAATACCGCGAGTAGAGGAAACTTGTAGTTCTTGAGTTCTCGCTTCTAGGTCTTGAGGCCCGGTTATTTTTGTTCGATTGTACTCCTTTGATGGTAGCAGAAGTCTTTGCGTCTTCCTGCTTATAGCTTTGGAGGCAATGGTTGTCTTTTTGAAGTTATTTTATTTGCAAATTGTAGCTTTTTTTGTTTTTTTTGGGGGGGTGGGGGGGGGCGCAATGGAGCTGCTGATAAGATCAATTGACTGTTTAGAATTCCTGTTGTTGTAGGCACCTGCGGGTAGGTGTTAAGCGTTATTCAAAAAGTGATAGAAACAGAGCGAGTGGGGGAATGAGAAAAAGAGGAGTGAAAAGTACTTATGAAAAGATAAATGTAACCGGTAATTATATGGGGGAGAGATGCTTCTTATCGCAGACACTAGGGTTAGAGAATACAAGGGTGAGAGGGTTTATCATCAGTTGCTACTGAAAAATGTCGATGGTAAGCTACTTGCGCTCATATACTCATCCAGTAGTGGTTTAAAGGAGTTGACTGATGTAGCTGTGGCCACTTCCTTCGGCAGACCGTTCCACAAGGCACATACTCTGTAAGAGAAGAAGTAAGATTTCACCCTTCGCTTTGCCCTATGGTGGGGTATGAGAGTGGGGTTCCCACGAGATTGTCGGTCGTGCAACGATAACGTCGTCCTATTCGGGTGGTCCACTTGGTGAGCAATCTTGTGGGCTGTTGTCAGGTCGCCTCGTTTCCCTCGATAGCTTAGTGTCAGCAGGTTGAGTTGTCTGAGGTGTCGCTCATAGGTTTTGCCTGTTAGTCCGATAACCGATTTTGTTGCTCTTCTGTGCACCTTCTCGAGAGCACTTACGTCTCTCTTTAATACCAGGGAGGCTATCGTGTTGAACACTTCTGGGCGTGATCTAACATAGGTTTTAAATACCACAAGGAATAATAATGGGGCTAACAATCCAAGCCGCCTTTTTGGAAAGTGTATTGAGGCGTTTGCCTTTGTTACCATTCCCTTATAAATGTCAGTATTATCCATGGTATCAGAAAAGTTTAGTCCTAGGTCCTTCTCTGTGGATGCCTCGGTGATTGTATGCTTGTTAAGAGCGTAACTGACTTTCATCGCGTCTGGTGTGTGAAGATACATCGCCTTGCATTTCTCTGGGTTAAAGCTCAAACCGTTTGCAGCTGACCAGGACTCCAGCTGTGACAGGTAGTTTCGGAGTATCTCAGGATCCTCCTCGTCACCTATCGTCCTCCATATTTTGATGTCGTCGGCGAATAGGAGGATGGATGAGGAGATCTTTACTGGTAAATATGGTGGTGGCCCAAGGATCGCTCCTTGAGAAACTCCTATTCTTGCACTCCTCCGCGCTGATCGAATTCTGTCTACTTTACGGCAGAATTCTGTCCTCTAGGTATGCTGTAAACCATACAACAAGCGGTTTACTGATACCAACTTTTCCGAGTTTGGCGAGTATAGTTCAGCGTGGGACGCTATCAAAAGCTTTGCCCCAGTCCAAGGAGATAACGTCAACTGGTTGTTTGTCGTTCCATCTCGTGGTCCAGTTACCTCAAATGGTCACCAACTTTGTGGTACACCACCGCCCGGTTCTAAAGCCATTCTGGGTGGGATGAACGATGTTATTTCTGTTCTGGTAGTCCCAAACAGTATCTGCAACCGGGCTTTCCAGTACCTTGGAAAGTATGGGAAGTAGTGCTATTGGTCTGTATTTGGATGGGTTTTTTCGGTCTCCTCCCTTTGAAGATTGGTGAAAGGATGGAACGTTTCCGTTCTTTGGGGAGTTGACTTACTTCCGAGTGCATGAATGGGTTGCATATGGGCACGGTTAGCACTTCGGCACGGTTGTGTTGGACCATCGGTCTTATGTCATCGCATCCCGGGGATTCCCCTATTCTCCATTTTGAAAGTTTCGCAAACATTTGGTTTGACGAAATCTTCGCGTTCATCAGCCTCGTCCCGCAGTCCTGGGACTTCATTACGTTACTAGATGTTGATAGTGGATGTTTCACTGGGCTGAATTGCTCGTCAAATAGACCGCTCAACAGTTCCGCTATCTCACTGTTGTTCAAATGTTGCCCGGCCCGCCCCGTGATCAGGTTTGAACCCTTATTCGTCAAATTGTGTTCTGACACAAACCGATACAGACTTTTCGAGTTGAAGCTTAGCTGCTTAGCCAGGTTGCTGTGGTATGTGTATCTGTCATTACGAATTCTCACATTACATGAGTTGCCTAACGTCCTGTGGCTATGGAAGCCCGATGCTTTACGTGAGGTACGCCACCGGAACCACGCCTTCCTCTTTCCCTGTATTTACCCTTGGGTTGCGCGAGTTACCCATGACCATTTGAAGGGTTTATTTTGGAACACTTCTTAGTTATGACGGTGGAGGCTATTACCATACCACCAAAAAAGCCAAGAGGTAGCTGGACACTTACGTCCCCACCGTTTGTCAGAACGTAGTCTGTGTTATGAAATATCGATAGGTTTTCAACACTGGATACCACCCGCTTTCTCTGAGAGACTGGGTGCCTTAATTGCGGCCCCGGTCTCCGTCCCAATGACACGATATACCCACTTGAGACTTGGAGGGGATGAACAGTGTTAAAGTCACCCGTGAGGATCACTGAGTCGTAATTTGCAGGGGTTATCGCTGAGTCTGTCCCAACGAACATTTTATTTAGGTCAGAAGTTTCAGCAGGTGACCTTGACATGAGCCCGAACAAGCACCTGGCACAATGGAGTGTGAGGTGGCGCAGCAGGGAGTCTGGAAGTGGATGAGCGCAACGTTGCACACCACCCTTGCCTTCAGACGGTAGCTTGCATACAGAAGCACCCCACCCTCCACTTTGAGCTCCCCAACCCTACGGGAGAGTCCTATGACCGTGACATGCATCTTTTTATCGAAAGTGTCTGGTGATGGACGGGGTTCTGTAATAAATATGACGTCAGTGCCCAGGTATTATTGAAGCGTTCCTATCTCCGCTGATTTAATGTGAAGTCTATGAAGTTATAATAATAACAATATATTTCATACAACAAAGGTTGCATGAATACAAACCAGTTTACAGGTTTGATCACTTTGGTAATGAGAGATGACTATTGTGCACAATGTTATGCTATACATTAGATGCTGTGATTTATGGCATATAGGAGGTGTGTTGAAGCAGGCTCAGTTCGAATTTGAAGATTATCCGGTCATCGTTTGAATCGTCCAATATTCTTGAAGGTGAGGCCGCATCACAGTCATGACCTTGAGGTGTGCGCGTTGGTCATAACGTTTTGATGGCAATATTTCCCGCTGATGAATGCGATTTGTAGGATTCCATTTGAATGCAGGACTGGTTAAGTAAATCTGTAAAGTGAATAACAAAAGCGAGCAGCAGGCGAAATTTGTAACAGGAGCACAAAAATACGCAGGAGTAGATCAACCATGATACATCTGGGTGAGTTTGTACTGGCTGTTAAACTTACTTGAGGAAGTGTCCAGAACCAACTGTTTAGAGGTAAGCTTAGGTGGAAGAAGATGAAGGTGCGCACGACAGTAATGAAAGTCAGTCTGAAGCTGAAGATATCACTATGAAATAGAAAGATTAGAGGATACTGGACCAGGTATTCACTTGTTATATACCTATGTACAAGCGTTTGATGAAGTTATAAACATTTAGGCGAAATTCGTGGTTTTTTGGGGACGGTAACCACCCTTTATATGGTCACGAGGGGGATGATCATGGTGTTGCCTGTTGAGTATTACCTCATCGGGGCTACCGAAACTATGTTGGTGCAGAGTACTTAGATGTAAGTACTGATGACAAAGGGCAAATAATAAAGAGTTGCATGCTATGAAAATGCACCGACAGACAGTTCTTTTATCTTTTCGGAGTAGAGAGATTACTTTAAGGGGCGATTTTTAGGAAATAGGTGTTAAGCCGTGAGGTCAGTTAGGTTATGAAGAAAGGTAGGTTACATTTGAGTATCTAATGAGTTCACTGTAGCATATCGTGTCGCACTCCGCTTTCTGTTCTGTCTTGGTCATTTTTTTTTCAGAGAAATTAGATTTTAACTTAGCTATTGCGTTTGGTTTTCGGCATTGTATACTTATGTCATTGCGACCCCATAAGGATGTTCCAGGCCGGGACAGTAACGGGTCTTGGAAAACATATGATTGCAACTTACTGACCGGGCGTTTGTGAGGCACCTTATCAAGTGCCTGCTTGAAGTCCAAGAAAAGGGTAGTTACAAATAGGCCTTGGTCACGCATGCTTGTAACATCGTCTAGATGGTCAAGATAGCTGGTAGCGCATGACCGGCCTTTCAAGAATCCATGTTGTGCTGGAGAGAATAATCGGCTTGTCGTCATGTAGTCGACAACTGCTTTCACAATCACCTTTTCCATAGTCCTGGATACTACTGACGTGATGTTTATAGGTTGGTAGTTTTCTACATTAGATGTTGGTCCACATTTATACTTGGGACATATGTATGACAGTTTCCACTTCTCAGGGTAATTGTCACTAGAGAGGGACTTATTAAGGAGCTTCAAGAGAATCAGCAGTATATCTTCGCCACCTCCTTTTAGTTAGATGGTTGGAATTCCATCAGGTCCCGCAATGTATAAGGTTCGAAGTGATGCTATAGCTAGAGAAATGTTTTGTTTATTCAAGAGCACAGTGCTTATCGAGTAAGTTGGTTATTACGGCACACAAATGACTTTGATTTCGTCCTCTTGTGTAAAGCAGCTAGCAAACTGGTAACCGAACAGCTAGCTGATTTGTAGTGGGTCGTCGTAGAGGATGCCGTTGTCGATGATTAAACTGGGAGTACTATTTCTGGAGCTGTTCGGCGGGTTTTTATCAGTCTCACTAGTGCTTATGTATTACCAGTTTTGCTACATTTGATGCTTTCTTGTTTAACGGCTTCTAGTACTCTTTCTACCTCAAATGTTTCGTATGTGTCTTTGAGCGTGACAAGTGATGAAAGGTCATTCGACTTATAGTACTCTGTGGCACGGCTTCGCAGTCGGTTGCGTACTTTCGTAGGTATATAGTCAACCCTGTTTTT